TCGAAGATGAAGGTGTCGTGGCTTTGTGGTGGAAGTTGACGACGGAGGTGGAGAGTCACGATTGTGGCTCCGTTATGGAGGCCGACGACGGAGGTGGTGAGTCACGCCTTGGCTAGGGTTCGATTCCAAATTTGGGGTTCAACCTTGAGGTTCAAATTAGCTCCTAGTTTGAAGATATAACTAAGAGGAGATTGAGTTAAGCGAGATTCTATGGTGGAGGTGGATTCCTGTGAGGTTTGGCAGAAGGAAGAAGAGGATGAGGAAGAGACTAGATAGAAGAGGAAGAAGAAGAGCAACGACTGAGAACAAAAAAAACCTAAGTGAAGGATGGGCAATAAGTTGTCAATAGGAAGTTTTTATAGGGGATATTTGTGATTAGATTTCAAAATGGGGATAATATTGAATAAATTAGCTGCGCCGGGGGCAAAGCCGCCAATTTCCCTATTTTTTACCCTTGAAACGGCAGAAAAAACTTGAAACTTGTATGAATGGGTATAGCACTGTTTTGTTATTTTTGGCCAATCACATCCTGTCACGTGGAAAAATTATTACGAGTGGCATACAGTGATTGGACATGGATAGCAAAATAGTGTTATCCTCGTTTCATATAAGTGTTTCTCCTGAAACGGATGCTCAGTCTTACTTTACCCCCTTTGAAATTGAACTTTTCTCACTTAACTCCCATAATCTCTAAAAACTATTGAAATTTTCTTACTTTACCACTTCCGTAAACTTTCATCCATAAAATCGTTAATTGTGCTGACGTGACATGTGCATTTTAGTAATTTTAGCTATTAAAATACTTCAAAATATGAATTATCAACCCATGAGTTAAGGCCCACCTGACTGCACGGATCAAGTAGAGAGGTGTGCATTGGTGTAATAACCCAAACCTTAATTAATTTTTAATGAATAATTTATTAGAGGAAAAGACAATTTTGCCTCTAGAATATTTTATTAGGTTTTAAAGTTGACTTTTTGACCGGGAAAGAATTTGGGAAATACACTTGTACCATTGTGTAGAGCCCAACGAAACGAGTCCGTAGACACGTAGTGAACTCGAATCGGAGGTATAATGAAGAAAATACGAGCAAAATACGTTGAGGGGCAAAACGGTAATTTGCAAGACAAGATTTTTTTTAAAAACCCATCTCCCTTTCTCTCTCCTCACTCTCCCTCTCTCTCGCACTCGACAACCCCCC